TATTTAATTTAAATTGTCAAAAATTGATTTAGAATAAACTCCTGATTAAGGGCAATACAATACACGACTAGCTAGTCATAAGCTAGTCATTAATATATAGACTTATGACAAGCATGTCGTACAAAGCAGCGATTCTCTTAATTTAATCCCCCTGCCCTATTCAAGTCTGTCGTGTTGCCCTTGCTATTACCCTTGCCTTTTATTAAAAATATTTTTTTTCTTTTAATTTTAAAAATATTTAATTCATTAAAAAAATTTTTTTTTACTTTAGAAAATTAATTTCTAAAATGTACGTAAATAAATAAGTGAGTATCTTGACTGTCTAAAATAATGTCGGCCGGTATCGGGATTCCGACCTAAAATCGGTATTATTGAATGATGATTCGATACCGACATCGGGATCTAATATATAGGCTTCATCTTAAATAAGATTCGTTTTTCTCGTTTGGTGACCAAAATTTCAGTGCCCAATATTCTGTTTTTTGACTTGGTGACATAAATTCCGCTGGTGACGAAATTCCAAAAAAGTTGGTGACCAAAGTTCCGAAAATCCTTGTGACCAAAATTCCAGTGACCATAATTCCGTACACCCTTCCCATTACAGCCTTTCCTTTTTCATCTAAAATGTTAGAAACGATATATTTTAAATAATTACTAATAAAAAAATTAATTTTCTGGTCTTAAACAGGGTTGGGCTCAAGAGGCAATTTTGATGTACATTAGAGCTGGACGTACCGTACTAAGGCCGTATCGGTATTGGGGTCCCGTACCGGTAATACGGTACGAAATACGATAGATGAAATTTTGTAGTTGATCGGTATTTATCGGTATCGGTATTCTGTATCGGTAATACGGTTTATCCGTGTGTGGTATTATTTATTTTTGAGTCTAACCAAAAAATGAGTCTGACCCCTGTAGTTTCTTCATTATTTGGGGGTCTGTATTTCGGTCCAAAGTTAAGCCCTGGGGTTGATTCTGTGTTTTTCGACACAGCTCGACTAGTTCTATAATCTGATAACAGACTGACCATTTTTTAATTCTTTGAGTAAGGAAAAAGGATTTTATTCCTCTTGCCTGACCATTATTATCCTTTGACAATTTTTAGACGAGAAAAAAGAAAAGGAGAAGGAATGGAGAAGGAAAGAAAAATGGGGGGAGATAACGGAAAAGTACCATAAAAATTTATCTATCATGTTAATTAAAAATATGTTAATATATTGACCCCATCTACCTTTCTCCGTGTATGGTATTATTTAATTTTGAATCCCCGTCCAAATGTAAGATGGACGGTAACATTATAAATAATTATTTATTTATTTTAATTTGTCAAAAATTGATTTAGAATAAACTCCTGATTAAGGGCAATACAATACACGACTAGCAAGTCACAAGCTAATCATTAATATATAGACTTATGGCAGGCATTGCGTCGTACAAAGTACCGATTCTCTAAATTTAATCCCCCTGCCCTATTCAAGTCTGTCGTGTTGCCCTTGCTATTACCCTTGCCATTTATTAAAAATATTTTTTTTCTTTTAATTTTAAAAATATTTAATTCATTAAAAAAATTTTTTTTTACTTTAGAAAATTAATTTCTAAAATGTACGTAAATAAATAAGTGAGTATCTTGACTGTCTAAAATAATGTCGGCCGGTATCGGGATTCCGACCTAAAATCGGTATTATTGAATGATGATTCGATACCGACATCGGGATCTAATATATAGGCTTCATCTTAAATAAGATTCGTTTTTCTCGTTTGGTGACCAAAATTTCAGTGCCCAATATTCTGTTTTTTGACTTGGTGACATAAATTCCGCTGGTGACGAAATTCCAAAAAAGTTGGTGACCAAAGTTCCGAAAATCCTTGGTGACAAAAATTCCGTACACCCATCTACTTTTCTCCGTGTGTGGTATTATTTATTTTTGAATCACCGTCCAAATGTAAGATGGACGGTGATATTATAATTAAATAATTTATTTATTTAATTAAATTTCAATTTTTAAAAATTGATTTAGAATAAACTCCTGATTAAGGGCAATGCAATGAACGACTAGCTAGTAACAAGCTAGTCATTAACGACAGGCATTGCTTATGACAGGCATTGCGTCGTACAAAGTACCGACTCTCTAAATTTAATCCCCCTGCCCTATTCAAGTCTGTCGTGTTGCCCTTGCCATTACCCTTGCCATTTATTAAAAATATTTTTTTCTTTTAATTTTAAAAATATTTAATTCATTAAAAAAAAAATTTTTTAAAATTAAGAAAAAATGAATTTTTTTTCTGCGATTTTTATTTTAATTTTTGTTGTTGAGCAACAAACAAATGGAATGCTACCGAGATTGTACCACAATCAACACGAAAGTGGGTTTTTATAAGGTGTACGATAATTGCAGGACGACAATTCCATATCTGGCAAATACGGATTAAAAATTTTTTAAAAATTTTAAATAGAGCCAGTTGTCAGTTTCAGCCTTATGACGGCTTCCGAATATTTTTAGACTGATGTGGCATTGAAAACTTTAAAAAATCTTAAATTTTTAATGTTTTTATGACCTCAATCCTAGTCCTCAATCGTAGTCCGCAATTGGCTTCCGCAATTGTCGCACCACCAATTGTTGTATCGCCATAATAATGAAAACTGATTTTTAGAAAGGAAAAGTAAAGGTAAAGAAGCTGCTCCTGTTTATGCTAATATTTTGCCAAAAGATGGTTTCTCTCTTCTTGAATTAACTTTTTTGGCTGAGATTTTGCGCGAGATTGAAACTAATACCATCTTTACAAATGATTCTATTGAATTAATTGATATTATGCGTCATCATGGTCAATTAGTTTTTCCTCGAGTATATCATCTTCAAGTTGATTTTGGTCAAGTAATTCCAGATTTCTTTCGAAAAATAAAAAAGGTGAGCAATGAAATTTTTAATATTTTTAAATTTAAATTAAAATAAAATTTTTAAAATGGTAGGTAAATTAATAGAAGAGTATCTTGACTGTTTAAAAGAGTTGGCCGGTATCGGTATCCCAAGTTGGGAAAAAAATCCCAAGGGGGGAAAATTTAAAAATTTCATTCCCAACCTTAAATCGGTATCGATATTATTGAATGATGATACCGATCCCGACCTCGGTATTGGGATTTGCCAAACCGGTATCGGAATTTGGGTTAGTGATGCCAATACAGATACAGGTTTGGGATCGGGATTAACAAATCGGTATCAGTATTATTTAAAAAATATAACCAAATATAAATAAATTTATTTGTAAATTTAGAGATTTTAATAATATTAAAATGATAAATAAACACCACAAGAGAGATTCGTAACAAAAATATCTCAAGAACCAGGAGAAGACCATCCAAATCTGCTGATATCACTATAATCCTCCGATATTTTTCCGAATCCCCAATATACAACAAATCCACCTTTATCCCTCAAATCATCCGATATTTGGGCTTGAGATATATCGAAGGATATCACTATAATCCTCCGATATCTCTCGCTTGAAAATGAAGTTAAAAATTATGGCCAAAATTGTTGATTTTCTGAAAATGCAAAATTTTTCGAGGTCTATTGACTGTAACTTTAGAAATTTTTGATAAAAAATTCTGAAATTTCTGGAGCAGGTAGTCAAGGATGTTAAAGAAATTTGAGAAAATTTTTATAAAGTTAGGTCTCGCCTAAGTGCCAGTTTTTTGTTCTCGCGCCAAAACGGCGCTAAAACGACCCCAACCCCCTATATTTATGTACATATATCGAAGAATTAACATCAATTTCCCTCGAATCTTTATCACCAAATATCAGTGGATTTAAGAGATTGAAGAGGAAATAGGAGGATTAAAGTGGATATTATTTGATATGGAAGGCCTTCTTTTGGTTCCTGAGAACCACGAATTTTAATAATTTAAATTAACCCCAAAACATCTAGAATCCTGATATCACACCCCCGATATCCCCCTTAATCCTTAATGTTATCACATATATTCTCCAAATCTTCTCATAACTTTTTTTAATTTTAAATCCATTTGAGTTTTTAATACAATTATTTCATTTTTAATTTTTTACAAAGATTTTGCGTTATTATAACAATATATTACACGCAAAACAACAAACTAGTGGAGAAATCCTAAAAACTACAAAAAACATGTTTATTATTTGGCATCTGGTTGGCATAGCGCGAAATCTCATCCGCTCATTTCTTCTGGATTACAGTCAAAACAAAGCCATGTACTATGGAGAATTGTATAAATCATTATGAAAATTAATCTAAAAATTCCATTTTAAAGTTCACAACGTGGAAAGTTGATTTCCGTTATTAGTTATGTTAGGGCTTATGATAATCTTGAATTGAAGGCAAAAAATTGGATGGGATTTTTGTTTGCAGAACAAGCTCTACATGGCGAAAATGTTGAATTTAAACATGATGGATTTTATTACAGTAATTAAATTCTAAATGTTTAATACAGGGTTCTCTTCGACAAAATGCCCATCAAAAGTATCAAAATCTTGATTAAAAAGTAGATAGGGACTAAATTTCCAAATAAAAAGTATACTAAAAATTAAATTAGAAAATATCTATTCGTCCTCAAATGTTTTATATTTCTCTCCTAAATGAATCTTTTCTGATAATTTCTTGTTTCTACTGAGCATTTTGTGCATTTCGATGTGCTTTTTTGTGGCGCCTATGGCAACACAAAATCTTCTATTTTTTGCGCCGCAGGCGAAAATTTTGAGAATTTCGAAGGCCGTAGGCTAAAAAATTCACTTTTTTGACAAATGTCTTCGCCAATTTCGTTTTCAATTCAAAATGTTGATTTAAAAGTAGATACTTTCAATAAAGTACAAAATCAATTTCGTAAGTATGGAGGTCTTTTAAAAGTAGAATACTTTTAAAAAAGTACGAATGAGAACCCTGGTTTAATATAATAAATTTAAAAATAATAGTGCAGGGGGACAAGACTTTCTTGTCACCCTGTATGTTAAATTAATTAAGCACGTCCGCATATGCTGATGTCTTTGCAAGAGGCGGAACAACAAGGAGGAAATATAATAATTTTATATCCTGTAGAATACATTCATGATATCAACGTTGACATCTTTCTGTCTACAAATTTTCTAATTGATTTAGAATATTCCCACAATCCCAAATTGAAAAAGAATGAATGTATCAACATCAATGCAATTTTAGGAGAGCTTCGTCAAAACATGGAAGGGACAATTCAGGAAAATATTGGATTTTATAATTTATACGATAATCCATATGTTGAAGCTTCTAAACAGAAAATTGATATTTTGATTGGCGAAAATTTGAATGAATTATTTTTTGGAAATATGGAATATCTCCCCGAAAATTCTATTGATTTGCCAAATCGTTTCAACATTGTCACAAATGTAATTTGAATACCTATATCATTTTTATCTTGGTATATTATGTAGTTAGTATCAATTAGAGTTGGGGCCCAATCCGCCCTGTCCTAAAGATCGAGTCGGGGATTGAATTTTGGCTCGAAAATGACTCGGTCGGGCCGGCCCGATAAACATGATGCCCGAAAAAAATGGCTCGAGCGTCGGCTCGGATCAAACATCCCAACACTAGTATCAGGCTAGTCATTTCACATTTGTTATACCGATGCTTTTCTGAGCCGCTCCGTGTTGGATCCGGGTGAAAAATTAATTTATAATATTATTTTGGTATTTGAGTAAATTATGAGAGATGTTTGAAGATTTGGTAGATATCGAAGGGCTAATAAGAATATCGGTGGATTGTCGTGGGATTTGGATGGATTAAGTGTATTTGGGTGGACTCTTAAATAGTCTTTGCAATTTTTGAACGAGATATAAAATCCATAAAAATTTGGGATTAAAATTTTCAAAAGTATTTTGCGTGAGGTGTAAGTGTAGAGCAAAATCTCACTGAATTGTTAATAAAACAAAAAGTTGAGGATATTTTTTTAATTATTTTATAATAATAAACTATAACTTTTAGATTCGAAATGAATGTTTGAATGTTGTCCTCCAACATATGACATCTCGTGGCAAGGGTAAAGTTGTTCGTTTTGACCTTAACCGTCCTTTTGCTGAAGAAAAGAAATAGAGGAGCATTAAATTTGAACGTACAAGGGCTGAAAATTCAATTTTTGAATATTTTTTTAGTTTAGATTATTGGCTTCAAAGAAGCGATTTTTTTGTTTATATTTAAATTAAAGTTCAACCCCTAACCCAGGGGCAGGGAATGTCCGAGGAACGAGTGGAGGTCTCCCTCCAGACCGCCCGTTCCCCGCCCCAGCGGTTCGAATTCCCGATACTGAAACACCCAAATTATCGCCTGCGGCGCTAAAAAAGAGGAAAAATCGTTTCTTTATGTTAGCTCATTCAAAAGAGCTCGTCAGGCTGGGTTGAATGACACCAAAATCGCTCGATCCAATGATTCTGAACATAATTATCAACAACTTAACCTTGCTTGAATAACTGTTTTAGTGTTGCTAAAGAAGGTTGAAAATATGTTAAGGCTGAGAATACAGATTCATCAAGGCTGAGAATCTGTAAAAATGAATAGGATTATGTTACTAGTGCAAAACCCAGCGAAGCTGGGTTATTGACGCATAGGTTTACGTTGACCATTTTGAGCCTCTTTATCTCGGCTCAATGTTGAGACAGAGGGTGATTTTGTTGTCATTAAACTCAGCTTGAGGAGCTCTTTCGAATAAGCTATCGTTCAATAAATCGAATTTTAACCCCGAAAATGTGCTTTCACCCTCCTCCCCCTATGGTTTCAGTGACCTTTATCTCGACCAAAGGCATTTCCGCACCTAGAGTGTGGCAGCGTTTGAATCAGCTCGCCATGCGACGATTGGCATATCATTTACCCGTTCGGTGGAGGCCCTGTACTAAATTATTTATATCCAAAACAATTTTAAAAATCTGGCAAAAATTTAAACAAGAAAATAGAGATTGATATTTTAAATATGTAAATATTGATGCTTTACCAAGTTAAAATATCATTGTTTCTATTTCAAATTTAAATTTTCTGAACAAGTCCATTCATTTAAAAAATCTCCAGTATATTACTGGTATTTAAAGTGTTCAATGAGGCCGATTTAGCGGTCTTGGTAGGAAACACTAAATGTAGTTTTTAGCTTTATTTTCTGATATTTATCATTAAATTGTTTGTTTTTTTATTAAACAAATGTCGATAAATTGAAGAAAATTGTGTTTTTAATTTTATTAATCTATTTGAAAAATTAATTGAGTCCTTGTATACAGTAAGCCTCTGAAATTTTGTCTGAAGGCACCGTTCATCGGACGTCACTGGTCAAGTCGTTTGTAATACCTAGAAAGTGATAAGGAGGATAAAATGAAGACGGAATGCCAATGAGATTATGGGGAATCGAAAGAGTTCTAATTCTAGCCTAAAGGGTTTAATCATTTACACATTTAAGTCTAATTGATTATGTTTATTTATTTAAGTCAAAATATAAGGTGAATAAATGCATGAAAATGAAATAAAAGTGAAGCACGAATTAAATGTAAAATATGTATCGAAAAGGGTTCAGAACTGCAATCCCAACTGAGGGACATCGAAAACTGAGACTGAGACGGTTTGTTCACTTCCAGAGTTGTTTATGTAGTTGTAGTTAAAATGGGGCGTTACAATGGATAATGGGGAGGTGGGTATGTTGGATAAACATAAATAAATGTAAAAGGTGAACAATCCGGAAAAACATGTGAAGAGGTGAATGAATAACTAGTAGTGGGAAAAGATGGGAAAGATTAAAGGTGATGAAACAACAATATATAGAAAATTGTGTGGAACTAATAGAGGGATTGGTGTTGGTGATTTGGGGGTTTGGAGGTGGATGGCACTCAAGTGCCTAACAATATAGAGGTAATATCTTATGGAAATCAAAATTTAACGCTAAATGTGCAAAATGAAAATATTTATTGGAAGTATGAACCCCGAAATTAAATCTTAGAAATTTTTAAGAAATTATTTACGAATAAAAAAATTAATTTTTAATTTTAAATCGGTCGATAAAAGACGTTCTTGCGCGCCAAATCTGACCAAATCTGACGCCAACTGTTGAAAATCACGAAAAACGCTGTAAGTTTTACAAAAATTTATGTCATTATGAAAGCTTTTAAAGGTCATTTCGCATGAAAATTTATTCAAGAAAACAAACAAGGATACGAAAGGGGCAAGAGTACGAAACGAACAAGGATACGAAATGGGGATACAAAAATCTAAAAGAAATAAACAAATTAGAGGGCAGAAAGGGTTGAAGTGAATGAAAGAGAGGAGAGAAAGATAAAAAGCGCTGCGCTTAAATTAATGCCCTGCCAAGACTTAATTCATGTGATTTAAATTGAGATGAGTGTCCGTCGATGAAGGTACATTTGACGGAATATGTATCGCTGGATATTTTACAGAATAGATTATGAAATTGTTTGTAAACTGTTGTTCTAGCTTTAAATTTGAAAGATTTGTAAAGAAACTAAAAATGAAACTCGGTGAGCATAAAACAGAAAAGCGCACAAGGAGGATAGTCGCAACGGAATATTAAAAGCTTTCATTTGATCAAGTTTATGTTCGAAAAAATCAGGTCCGTTGACTTACTTGTTTTGGTTCTAGCATTAGATCTGCTTATATTCAGTGCTGGTTATGGCTCCTGAGCCAAGTTAACGTCTTGTTCCGTTGACTTATTTGTTTTGGGACTAGACTTAGAAGATGTGCGGAGCCAGAATAGTCTAGGTCCGTATTATGGGTCCACCAAAGCCAGAACCAGAGCTAAGATTTTGAAAACCCCAGAGCCGGGGCCAGGAAGTCGAAAGCCACGAGGTTGAGCCTAAGCGAAGGTTTGAAAAAGTTCGAACCAAAACCAACAAATGCCCGATAGCAAGCACTGCTTATAACTGTAATGGCTCCATATAATGCCAAATAACGGAACAAATTTAATTTTAAAGATTCTCCAGAATATTTGTGAATTTATAAAATTATATTAACTGTGTTTCTTCCTCCATCAATTCTGAATAATGTTAAGTAAACATTAAAAAAAGTCGAAAAATAAAATATTTGGTGAAATGTCCTCTTAACTCAATTTTTCGCAATGGAGGGGAGGGAGAGAGAAAGAGACTTATTCACTGCCACTTATTCAGCCTTTTAAAATTTCCCTTTATAAACAGGCCAAAATGGTTGACAGAATCACTCACTATTACATATTTAATAGAATACAAATTAGGAAATCAGTGAAGGGCAGTGCTTGGGTGACTTATTATAGCTACGTTAATGGCATCCAAAACTCAGCTTTATTAAATAATTTATTTAACAATTTTAGCTTTACATAAATAAAAATATGTATAATTAATTTAAAAAGATAATAATAATCAAATACATTTATAAATTCCCGAAGTATTTTTTAAAAGGACAGCTTAGTGGAGGAACTAATCTCTGACTCTTCCGAATCCCCCGATATTCCGAATTTTTATCAAATATTTGTATTTAATTTAAATTGTTTTTTAAATGGCTCCTGACGGAACATATCTCTGACAAAAGATTCAAGGGAATTTCTACTAGGGCTTTATTCGCTTCGCTTCGGGCCTTCGGCCCTCGCCCCTACATTTGGATGGGCATTTTTTTAAATTGTCAGATATTCAATTCATTACCATTTTTTGTAGAAATTAATATTTATTTTATTTCTCTCCAAAGAAAAGAATTAACTAAAACAAAATTTAAAAATCTTCAATTTGAACAATGAGGATTTTTATTCTTTTTTTCTTTTTATTTTATTTGATATTTCTTCTCCAATGTAAATTTGTTGAAGGAATGAGAGGACAAAGAGGCCGTTTGTTTTAATTTTAAAAATATACATACATACCTCAATATAAAAATCTGCAGAAATATTAGAGGTACAAGAGGTTTTATTTTGATGTTTCACCTTAACCGATTTGTAAAAGGAGCCGGAACTTCCGGTGAAACTATACCTTCTTAGGCTTCCAAGGTTCTCAAAATTGCCGATCTAAAATGTGCTCTTGCATTGAATTGCAATGTTATGCCAAGTGGATTGTGGAGCGGTTCCGAAAAATAGTCGGCTAGGATCTGTAGCCTTGACACACTCTATGAGCTGTCATTTTAATCTGTGTTTATTGAAATTGTCTCTTTACCCCAACCCTGTTTAAGACCAGAAAATAAAATTAACAAAATTTTTTACCATTACTTAAAAATATATAATTCCTAATATTTTAGATAAAAAAGGAAAAAGTGTAATGGAAGGTTCTTCGAGAAGTCAGCAAATAACAACTGTCGTTACTCAACCGATCGAATTTGCGCTCCCAGAACTTACCTTTCTGATTGAAATATTGAAAAAAATTAGCTACGACGATTTAACTTCTGAAAAAAGTTTTATCGAAATTTTTAGCCAATATACAACTTTTAACAAATATAATGAAGAATTTGAATATGATGAAGTATATCATGAAGAAATTAGAGTTACTTATAATATGGAAAATCAACCCGCGACAAAAGAAAAAATAGAAAAGGTGAATGGAACCCAAAACTTTTTTTAACTAATCCTCGGGGACTTTTTAAAACTCCTTCGTTAATGTAGACTACATATTTTTGGAAATTTGTTATATCCGGAGTCTTGTGAAATCCGGAGTCTCTTTGGCTTTTGCTGCTAAGCTACAACTTTAATAATTTAAGTTTGTAACGCGACAACTGATCTATTGCGAAAAATATAATAAAAATTTTAATTTAAAGGTTATTGAATTTTACAAACTAAAGATAAATGTTGCTTTCTTTCTGTTAAATGTTAATAATGAGCAAGACACCATCAGGTTGCCGCAAATATTTTTAATATTATTTTAAGGTATCATGTGGTCGTAAAGAGAAATGTGCGACGTGGCCA